TAAGGTTATGGAAATCAAATATGATTCTCTATCTTCTGTCATAAACAAAGTCACCTGCAGTCCCAATTACTATTGGCAGCCATTCTCTGCCCATGAAGAAAACAAGCCTTCAGAAGAGGCCAACCCTGTTGACAGATGACCGGCGAGATGGAAAGATTGGAGAGATTATCATGTGCTGATAATATCACTGATTAACCTTGAAGAACTTTGAACCTGTATACTTTCTAGTCACATGAGCCAGCAAATTCCCTTATGAGTTAACTGCTATGAATTGCCTTTCCTATTACTTGTAACTGAAAGTATCTTTCACTGTACAGTAATCCATCAAAACATGGTGGTCATTCATGGGCTGTGAGATGTGAGAAAATCCAGGTGAAGAGGACTTTTCTGAGACATGGCTTCTTAGGATTCCCTACTGTCACCTTGGTTTTACTGACTTGCAATTGGTTTTTTTTTTTTTATTGGAAGGATATGAAAATTATTAAAGCAACGAAAATATAATATTCAGATAAATTATATTTAATTTTACAGCTAACAAATCCCTAAGAACTTTTAATAGTGACACAAAGGACATAGATTCTACAGGGCCTAGAGTAGCAAAGCATTAGATAAAAAATGAAGGATTTTAAGGAAAGCGATGGATGTAAGCAAAAGAATAAATGAAGATTGGGCTCCAAATGAAACAGTTGGGTTTCCTGCATTAAAAAAAAAAAATGAAAAATGGAAGTACAAACATTAGGCTTTAATTGGTTGGAAGCAAAAGCCAATTCTGGCTGTGAAAAGAGAAAGGGAATTAATTGGTGGTATTACTGGGGCTCATGAAATCAGCAGAGGCTGCAATTAGGGTGAGGAACAGATAGGAAAAAGAAGCCATTCTAGAGACGAAGAAGCAGGACTCACAACAGGGAAAAGCCAAGCGAAGGTGCAGCTATTTAAGGGAGAGGTGACAAGGTGGAGGTTGATGGTGACTTGAGGGAAAGTCATTTCAGTGGAGACCAGGAAAGATCGGTTGGAGGAAGTTGAAGAGAGATGGAAAAATAAGCGACTGTCTTGATGAATTTTTCCATGAAAGGGAGCATAGAAGGACATGAGATAAGAGACGTTTGCTTGTCTTTTAATGTTCCTACTTAGTGTATTTCTATGATGATGGTGCTAACCATTGGCTGGAATACTTTTCCCTGCACGTGTCCCTAGGCTGGTTCCTTCTCCTCCTTCATTATCTCCTCAATCCTACATTACCTCCTGCTCCTGGTCATATATTCTTGTTTTATTTTCTCTACAACATTTGTCGCTGTCTGAAAATATCTTCTGTATATGTTTGGTTACCTTCACCCGCTAAAATATGAAATTGATAAGAGCAGCAACTTTGTCGGGCTTATCACTGTATCACCCTCATCTAGAAAAATGCCTGTCACATAGCAGAGTCTCAGTAAATATTTGTGGGATAAATAAGCAAATGGATAACTAGACCTTCAATGGTTTCTTTCGTTCTTTTTTTTAAAAGATTTTCCTTTAAAAAAATTTTTTTTAAGATTTTATTTATTCATCTGACAGAGAGAGAGAGCACAAGCAGGGGAGTGACAGGCAAAGGGAGAGGGAGAAGCAGGCTTCCCGCTGAGCCCGACACAGGGCTCAATCCCAGGACCCCGGGATTATGACCTGAGCTGAAGGCAGACGCTTAACCGACTGAGCCACCCAGGCGCCCCTAAAGGTTTTACTTTTTAAGTAATCTCTATACCCAATGTGGGGCTCAAGAGTCACATACTCCACCAAGTGAACAAGCTGGGCACCCCTGGTTTCTTTCATTCTTAAACCACCAACATTCAAAGTCGCAGGATCCAGTTGCTGAATAGCCAAGTTCAGACCCTTTGTCTGGACAGGGTCTGCTCCATCTTGGGTTATATGCTGGGGAGGGGGGTGAGTACCTGAATTTATTGTCCTTTCAGAAGAGAATATGAGAGGAGAAAGGCAATTCCCACAGGGAAATCTGGGACTATTTGGCATCCCCAAATGGCAAATGCTCACGGCAGTACAGAATTGTAAGGAGGAAAAAGGAATGTTTACTTCCTGCCATAAAAAAATCCATAAATGAAAAGTTTACATTCCTACTTATCAATTAACAGATTTCAATTTTATTCCCTCTGTTTCCTGAGAAAAGACTTTAGGATCAAGTGGTAGGCAAGTCTTTCTGCTCACACAGATAAACATCCCCCTCCATTAAAACAGGTTGGAAGCCTAGAGATAATTAGACCCACTGTGTCAAGCAATCAGCAGACAGTGAAGAGGTCACAAAAAACAAGGACAATAGAGCTGACTAACTCTTGAGAGAAACAGAAGGAAAGCCTTTGCAATCAGTAGAAAGAAGTTTTTGCTTATTGTGTTTCACGGACTGCCGTGTACTGGTTTGTGCGATGTTCCTTTGGTGTTTATCTCACCTTCTCCTTCCCGTCTGGTCTTCCCCGAGCAGAGACACACCCAGACTCTCAGACATGGGCACAGTCACCTTGGGTCCATCACAGTGAAAGCTTAGTGAACTTCCTTAGGTCAACTCCGTGAAAGCAGCCATTTGTCTCCACAGGATTGTATCACTGCAGGAGGAATACCTATGAGGCATTTCTGTTTGCTTTTATTTATTTATTCTTTTTGATGCTTGGGATCTGTTAAGTTAGAAGAGCCCTTTGGAAATCCAAGATCTGCTTCATTGACTCTCTTCCCACTACAACATTCACGCCTGCTAGAACGATAACCTTGATAGAATGATCAGCTCCATGAGAAGAGGGACAGTGTCCATTTCATTCATGCCTAGCACCGTGCCTAGTTCACAATGGGTTTTCAAAAACATATTTGGTGAATAATTGAATAAACAATTAAAAGTGAGTGGATAGATGAAGGCCAAAGGGACTGTAAAGACCTCCACTGGGGCTTTCTCTCCTCTCTTCAGCTGCACTACTTCATTGTAAATCTACTGTCTTTCTTACTCTTTCCTCATTGCTATGTTTCCTCTTTTACCCTCCTTTCTGGTCTTACTGATACTTACTCATCGAAGTTTGATAAGGCTTCCTGATAAACATTAGCACAAGAGCACACGAAGTATGTAAAATCATTAAGATTCTTCCTTGTTGTACACATATATGTGATGCGTGATTCTCAGGAAAGATGCATTTTTGACAGATCACAAGGTGATTTTGCAAACTGTATGTAGTAGTCTACAAGAGCCCTGAAGAGCTTACAGTTTTTTTAGTTTAAAATACTGTTAATGGTGGAGATATCAATGATTTATATATATATTTCTAGAAGTTTTGTTGAAACACCCCCTTTGTCCTTTAAACTAGAGGGCAGCACTGTAGTTGTTGGTTTTTTTTTTTTAATTCAGTCCAGCTTTTAAAAACAAGACCATTTCAATGATTTTCATGCATAAGGACTTTTCCTTAACTTAATCTAAAAAATAGCATCATTTATTTCATTATTTAGCCTGGTCCGCCAACATGTCTTCAATAAACCTGCTAATTTCTTTACCACCTCCTTCTGAAATCCTTTGGTAATATTCATTTAAGGAGGATTAACAGTGGAAAAGTCACTTTGTTTTTCAAGGACTTTCTGAAAGTCCTTGTTTTTGGACCAGCCATATCTCCCCGCCTCTCTTTTTGATCAGTGAGATGTAAGATAAGATTAATAACCATTATAAATAATTAGTGCTTACACTGCCTTTCGCCAGCCATTATTGAGATGACCTTTTTTTCATAAGTTGTTATGAACCAACTACATGTCAAACATCTGCACATTCCTCTAAAATGCACTAAAGTATAATCTACTCTGTGGGTTTTTTTTTTTAATAAGAAGGGGTAAGGAAACAGAACAGAATGTTAGAGTTGGAAGGGTTGACAGAAACAACTCAAGCAAGTCTTTTAGAAATAAAAGACCTAAGGCATAGAGAGGTGAGATGATTTTCTGAATTCCAGAGGCTACTAACTAGATGTGAGGCCAATACCCAATCTTTCTACTTCCACACCTACCTAGTTAGTGGGGATTTTTCCACCCAGAACACCAACTGCTCCACAATTCATAACTTTACTCTTAGGTTTTGTTTTGTTTTCTTTAAACTAAGGATTGAGGTGACTTAAAATCTTATTGTAGAAGTAAATGCTAATTATACTCTTGAACTGATAAGTTCCAACCTTGCCCACTGCTTTTGCAGTCACTTGATCTAATGTGCTCTATCCCTAGAAACAAATTCTGTGATTGGAAAAATTGCTGTCATTCCAACCTAAGTCCTTTTGGGATGGGCTATGTGATCAGGTTTGGGCGAGCCTAGGATGGAAAGAATCCAAACCCAGAAGTGATTCCCATCTGTAGATTGTGGAAGTCCTACATGCACTTCCTGCTCCGGCAGGAAGTGCAGTGCATACAGGCTGACCCGGGACCATGAACACATGCAGGGAGAGATACGGCAACTGGCTGGAAGAAAGTGGCTGGTGTCTTTGGACAAGCGAAGGGAAGAAGGAGCAGCGGTGCAGATGAGTTGTGACACTGAACAGAATGCTCATTGGGCACAATTTACCACCTCTGCATCAGGAAAAGAAGACTTTGTCAGAATGTGGCGAGGTGGAATCTTGGAGTCTGGGGGTCCCCGGGAAAGAAGATCATCACAAGGAGGTGGAGTCTGGGGCAAAAACTACTGCCATCCTGCAAACCAACCCATTTCTGTGGATGCGCCCCTCTTAGACAAGGAGTGTGACTGTCAGCACTGGTTCTAGATGCAAGCAAGCCATGGCTTGAGCACAAAACCACTGCTTCTGGCCTGCTTTGAATGCATTTTCCAGAAATGATGAATATGTGGTGATTCTTCCTGAATACTCATGCCTGGATCTGATTTGTGAGATGTTTTGAAGGGTTACTGTGGCTTTGTAATTGAGATTTTTTTTTCCCTTGGGAAGTAACTGTTCTTCCCACAACTATTGTGGTTGCCTAGCAACAGGGAACAGTAGAACAGTCCACAGGGATTCTGAAGCTAAGGAATGGGGATAGTTGATGTCTGTCCCATGGACTGGGTACACCAGTGGGCCTGACTTGAAATGGGAGAATGTTATAGCAAGAAATCTGTGGCCCCAGGGCCTGAAACCCCAGAGAGAATCAGGTGAGTTCCCAGCTCCTTCTGTCTCAAAAGAGTTCGTGGGAATTTCTAGATGAAGGAGATTTTCTTGAGGGCTTCAAAGAAAACCTTTCTTTAAAGTCTGGGGGAAAACATCAAACAGACTTTTCACCTTATCCTGGAAAAGGACCCCTTTCTTTGAATGGTGCTTTCATAGGGCAGGGTCTGATACACAATAGGTGTTCAATAAATATTTGTTGAATGAATAAAATGTCCCTTACTTGCTCTTCTCAAAATCACATACTCACCCCAACCATTTTATTGGCATGGGGAGGAAAGGCTGAAGGTTATTAGAACCACTGTCATGAAATGTCACCTTCACCACTTCCTTGCCAGGAGATGTCCACAAAAGAAGCTAGGTCATTCCAGTTTTCCTCACATAAAACCCCAAATCAACTCTGGCTACAAACATGGAAGTAAAATTCACCTCTGCAATTGATCTACAGTTAGTCACAGGGAAGTTCACATGTAGGCACAATACGCATTTCCCCTTCAAATGTAGAAATACCTGCCACTTAGCGTTTTCTTTTAAGCCTGGAAAAGGAGATGATCATAACCTCCTCTGTAGAAAGAGCTAGATTGTGATGGGTGGTGTCCTGTGAAAAGCAAATAAAAACAAGGTCCACACATTTCATGTAATGAAAATACATTTTAAAGCCTAACTAAGCAGAGCTATTAGTGCTTTTCACCTTGGGTCTACGGTCCATAGATGCTGTGGGAAATTCACAAATACCCCAAAACCTTATGTGAGATGTTGTTTCCATGTGCAAAAGGTCTACGACCTTCGAAAGATTAATAGTCTTTGGGAGGGAGGGAGTCTTTGTCTGGTAAAGAAAACGAAATTTAGCAAACAGTCATTTTCTTTTAATTTCCCTGAACACAGCATCTAAAGAGATAATATGTCAACGTGCTGACAATCAGAGAGGTGAACATAATGTTACCAAATGAAGAGAAAATGCCCTGTGATTAACAACTTTAAATAAATAGCCCAGGGTACAACCAGCAGGGAGGCCAAGTGAAAAGCAGGACTGTGCTCTCACTGTAAATTACCATTGGTGTTTTTGTTCTCCTGGTATATGGAACTGAGTGTTCCGTGCAAGTAGAGAGCAGGGCTGTGAGCTTGGACACAGCTGAGTACATACTACCTTGGCTTACCCTTAGGTGGGTTCAGGTCAGCTCCTTCATTTCTACGCAGGAGCATACTGGTCCCATGTGCCTGGGACCTACTTTTCTTTCCGTCCTCCTCATGCCCTTGAGACAGATCTTCTCTACAGTTTATAGAAACCAAATGGGAATTTGCTCCTGTGTTGGTCTAAGAAAAGAGGGTTAGTCCTTGGATGTGATTAACCTAGGGAATAAAGAAGGTATTTTCCCAGGAAATTCTTTCCCATAAGAATTGGGTGCTCAATAGCTGTATTTCCAAGCCAGTTTTAGTAAAGTCTTCTAGTCATACGAACTAAGTGGTAACTGATTGCTACCCCTGTAAAAAAACACAGGGTAAAGGTTGGAAAACAGATAGATATGTCACTGAAAGGAAGGAAATATTTATGTTCTTGTTACTTACTGAGGAAAAAAAATGACTGTAAAGCTGAAATGTCCTATTAATACTCCCTGCTGATAGAAATTTAAAGGATTTTCTCAGTTTTTCCATGAACCTCGAAGTAAAACAAAACCACTGCAATAAAAACAAGCTTCATAAATATATTTGTTAATTCTCATTTTTCTCTCTCTCAAGGCTAATAGGCTTTCTCCTGAGTTATGCTACAAACATGACTTGTACTGTGTATGCGGAGTAGCTATGGTTACTCTGAGGCCATGACTCATGACCTTTAAATATTATTGTCAGGCAGCCAAAGCTCCCTCACTTTTAAATCTGTAGTTTTGTTTCAGGCATTATTAAAAGAAGGTGGTTCCAAATGGTACTTTCTCTTGTACACTTGTGGCGCATCTGAATATGCACAAAGGGGTACTGTACCCACAACTTTTTGTGTTTTTTGTTGGCCTTCATCCAGTGACCGTGTATTAATTTCTTGTGTGGTATGTCACTGGGCGAATAAAAAACAAACAAAGATATTCCTTGTCCTCTAGGAAGTATCACTGAGGAGTGCAAAAACATAGGTCGACAAATAATTATTTACATGATGAAATGTAATCAGGGCTATAATAAGAGACAGACGTACACATACTGCTTTGGACACAGAGGTAAGAAACACTTTTGACAGGTAGGATCAAAAAAGCTTCAGGAAAAGGCAGAATTTGAGTCATGGTGTGAAGAATAGGTTGGATTTTAACTAACATAGAAGAGAGCAAGAGCATTCTTGTCAGAGGAAACAACCAAAGAAAAGGATAAACACATAGTCTGGGATCACTGGGTAGTACAGTTTGAGAAGAATATCATGTCTGTGAGATGTACTTATAGAAGATAAAATTAGTTAGATGGTAAAAGGGAGCAGCTTATTAAGGTCTTTCAAAACCATTTGTTGTTTGGCCCAGCAACATGATGACAAAGTTTGTTTTCCATTTCATGATAAAGAGGTGCTGTCAAGTAGAAAGCACCAAAATACTGGTTTTTGCTGATTTGGTATGATGCGAGAAGAGCCATTACCTCCCTCAGAACCCCAGCGTGTCCCTCCACTGAGTGGGAATCTAATTAATTTTGTTCAATAGTCACTGATTACTTTGTGAACAATTTAAAAGGTTTTAAGGTTTTTGAAAAGTGAAAGACATGCACAATAACATGGAAATAAAATAATACATTCATTAGGGAGATAGTAGGATAGAGAATCATAGGAGTACCCTGGGATTTTAAAGTAAGGCTTAGTGGTTGGCAGGCAGAAGAACAAGACGTTAAGATTGGGGTGTTACTAAATCATCCATTTATTCATTCATTCGTTAAAAAATATTTACTGACCATTTATATCCTTATTCAAGATGCCAAGGAAGGGGTAATAAAATAATAATAGAAAAAATTCCCTATCTTCAAGAAGTTTGCCTTTTCAGTCGGGAGGAAACATAATAAGCAAATTCTATAGTATGCTAGAAAGTGGTAAATATAGCAAAGAAAAATTAAGCGAGGCCATGAGGATAGATAGAGGGTGGGCAGGTCAATTTAATTTTGTAAAAAGATTTTCTCATTTATTTTAGAGAGAGAGCACGCACTCAAGTGGGGGGAGGGGCGGAGGGAAGGGAAGAGAGACAATCTCAAGCAGACTCCCCGCTGAGCGTGGAGCTGAACTCAGGGCTCAATCTCATGACCCTGAGGTCATGTCCTGAGTTGAAATCAAGAATTGGATGCTCAACCCACTGAGCAAGCCAGGTGCCCTAAGAGGTCAGTTCTAAAGGAGGGCGCATATGGTAGGCCTCACTGAGAAGAGATATTTGAACAAAGACAAGACGGGAGTGGAAAAGAGTCAAGCAGAGAAGGATGGAGTACATGTTCCTGGCATTAGGACTTGACAGGAGAGTCTGTCTATACAAGGAGGTTGAAGAACAGTGAGGAAGCCAGCAGGACTGATTGAGAAGAGTATCAGATGAACTGAGAGAGGCAGAGGTGGAGTGGTATGGGAGGAGAAAGTAGGTGGGATGGAGTGGGATGGAGTCCTACAACGGATGGGAAGGGTGAACGGGTGAGACATCGGTAGGACCTCGTATGCCGTTATACGGGTGTCAGCTTTTATTCTGTGTGAAATGAGATCCCTTACTGGAGGGTTTTGAGCAGAGGAGTGACATAATTTTTCTTATGGTAGGTGTACGGAAAACAGAATGTAGTGGGCAAAGATGGAAGCAGAGAGCACCATTCAGGAGGTTATTGCAATAATCCAGGCACAAACTGATGGTGGTTGGGGCTGGGACCAGGATGTCAGCAGTGAAGATGGTGAGAGCTGGCCAGATACTGGATATATTTTGACTGTCGAGCCAAGAGTTTCTGGCTGGATTGGGTATGGATTCTGAGACAAAAAAAAAAGGAGTCAAGGTGTCAGCCTGAGTGAGTGGAAGGATGCTGTCATCATCAACTGAGATGGGGAAGACTGCAAGCAGAAAATTGGGGGTACGAATTAGGGGTTAGCTTTGGAAATGGTGAAACTGAGATATCTATTAGACATCCCAGTGGGGATGTCAAGTAGGCCATTGCATGAATGAATCTGGACTTCAAGGGAGAAGTCTGGAAATGCGTACTTGGCAGTGATCAGCATATTGACAAATTTAAAGCCATGAGGTTGGATGCCATTATCAACGGAGTGGATAAGAATAGAGGAGAGAGGAAGCCTTGGAGCATGCCAAGGGTGAGAGCACCGGGAGGGAGAAAGAACCATCAAAGCAAACTGAGAGGGAGCAGCGGGTGGGACAGCAAGAAAACCTGGGGGAGCTTAGGACGTCCTGCAGCCACGTGCAGAGAGCCTGTCAAGGAGGAAGCGATAAATCATGTCAAAAGCTGTCAAGTAAGGTGAGATGTGACAAATGATCACTAAATACAGTGATGTGCAGATCGCTGATGAACTAAGGGCAGTTTCTGTGGAATAGTGCTTGTGAGAGTCTGGATGGAGAGCTGCCTTAACAAAACGCAGGAGGAGAGACACCGAGAAAACAGCCTCATTAAAGAGGGGATCAGGGTGGGGCGCCTGGGTGGCTCAGTCGTTAAGCATTTGCCTTCAGCTCCAGTCATGATCCTGGGGTCCTAGGAAGGAGCCCCGTGTTGGGCTCCCTGCTCCGCGGGAAGCCTACTTCTTCCTCTCTCACTCCCCCTGCCTGTGTTCCTTCTCTTGCTGTCTCTCTCTGTCAAATAAATAAATTAAATCTAAAAAAAGAAAAAAAGAAACACCCATTATTAAAAAAAGGGGGGATCGGGGTAATCAAGCCGAAAGTAAAGGGTTAAGAGGGCTCAAGATGCAATAAATAACAGCATGTTTGTAAACTACTGGAAATGATCCCAGAAAGAGAGATTGAGCGAGAAACAGCGTAGGAGACAAAGAATTCCCCAAATCTGCTGTTTAGTAGGATGATAGGCTTTCTTCCACTTTTTCTTTTTCTTTTTTTAGTTGAAATAAGAGATTTTGCAGGTTTTCAGAACAGACTGTACTGTTCAGACTGCTTATTCTCAAGAGAAACTTTAAAAGCTATTTTATCTTCTTTGAGTGAAGTTTACATTCCATAGTTTTGATTTCCTTTAGAAAAGTTCAGAAATTGACATTTGGAGGAAATACTTTATGACAATTATCTTCAGTGTCACAGCGTAAAGATCTATTTGATGTGGGGTGTGTGTGTGTGTGTATCTGTGTATACAAGTGTGTGCACACCTGAGATAAAATTTTGGAATTCTAAACTCTTACTTTATTTCAGCACCAGGTCTGCAAGTTCAGAGTCAAATATACAACAGAGAAACAAAAAACCGGTAAGAAATGAAGTTTGCGCGAATTCTTTTTTTTTTAAAGCATTATGGTTAATAAAACTGTAACTTCTTTGATTAATGCTGAGATTTTCCTGATCTAGTTTTGCTTTCATATTTTTATTAGTAAAGATTTTAAAAATAAAACATGGAATATCCTTTTTTTTCTAGTAGCATGCAGCCAAGCGGGTGGAGTGCCAACTAAGTGATATTATTGGGCAGTAGGGAAGTTAGGTGCGCTATGGTGTGGCCCCACAATATCACAGACATCCTGGTTACTCCAGAGTATTTGCTTATATGTGAGGAAATTCTGGAATTCAAACAAGGTACCGACTGGGTAAATCACATTGTGCAGTTTATTTAGGCTAAGGGTGAAATCACAGTCTATTCTAGGTACTTCCAGTGCCTGCTCTTTCTAGTCGGTTGATGACATACCTAGTTCTGACCTTTGAGATCTTGTCTCTCCCATGAGCTCTCTTATGCCCTGGGACATCTAGGTGCTTTTTCCCTGAGCCCCATCTACTACCTGTCTAGGCCTCAGATAGCAAATGTGAAGGCTGTTGAGAGACGTTACAGCTGGGGGATGGGGACACGGGAGCTCATTACACTAGTCCTCCACTTTTATAAGAGAATTTGAGAATTTCCCTTAAAGAAAAAAAAAAGCCATCTGTACACGCTTGATTCAGTTTTAGTAAGGATCCCCTAGACTCCACCATGGACATTTCTGGAACAACCCTTTCAGCTCTAACGTACAGGCCATATGGTATAGAAGAAAGATCACAGGCCAAGGAATCAGGCCCAAGTGTCCCACCTCCAAGCTGGGTGACCATAACCAAGTCATTTAAACTCTCAGGGTCGTATATTTCATCCATAAAAATCAGGATGATGAGCTTTAATAGTCTACTTCAAATACGATATTTGGGATGTGAAAATGGTTGGTAAAGTACCTACCAGTGCCCTGGAGTATAGTTATTTGGAATCGATAGCATTCAAATGGGCTCCCCTGTGGGCCCGGGGACCTTGATCTTGGATTTCTCGATTTCTTTCTGGATTCAGCAGCTCTACCCTACTACTCCTGTCCCATCTCAGCATCATCAGCTAAGAACAGTTGATCTAGTGAGGCGCATATCCAGAAGCCCACTCCTGCCATTATTTTTTCAAAAACATAAACATCGCTTTTCAAAGTTACATTCACTTAACCTGGCCCCAGACAGCCTGGACGTACCCCTCAAATCCATAATTATCTTCAGGAGGAGGGTTTTGTTAAAGAAACAGAAGTCAAGGGAGACCAGCTTAGACTAGTAGGACGTGCATTTTATTAAAAATCTACTTGCTAACGGTAGTGATCATTTAATCTTACATTTCTTTTTTTCAGTTGGAACTGAAAAAAAAAAAAAAAAAAAGCCTAACAATGAAGATTTTTTTAATACGCCTGTTGGAGCTACTTAGAATTCTGTTGTCCAAAGAAAAAGTATCACTCGCCAGTACCATATGAAAACATCTTTTTCTCCTCTTAGAACTCTTGGATAAGCAGTTAAATTGCAGTTTTGGAAATGAGAGACTTCAGCTCACCAGTCTCCGTTTACCGCCTTTCCCTCTAACAACGCTAATCAATTAGCACCCTAGAGGTAACTCTCTAGTTGGCTGCATATGAGACTGAAAAGGACAGGTGCCAATTACCACATTTAGGATTTCTGCCCAGGGCTCCCAATTAGCTTCCTGGAGTTCAGAATCTACTGCTTTCAATTTACATTTAAGACAGTTGGGAGCCCTGGGGCTGCAAGTAGCTGGTTCTGCTGTGTTCTACTGTGTTTTTACATTTCTCAAAGAATACATTTAGCTGGAGGAGGTTAGAATTAGAGACCTCAAGGCCATAAGACATCCACAATTAGTGCTGTCTGCTCATCACACGATGCCTTTCAGATCTTGCAACTCTTGGAATGGTCACTCATCAGAGCCGATTCTGCTATATACCACGAGGTACATACCAGCTTGCAGGTGCGTCTCAGGTGCCTCTTTTAAATAGTGGCTGTTTGCTTTAGCAGAAGACATTGAAATTGAAGGATGAAATCTGTTTAATTCTGTGAAGGTGTCTCGACCACCCATGCATAGCGAAACATTCTCCTCCTATCTGGAGATGGTCGTTTCCTATTTGTCTTTACTACACTGTTCTCTGAATAGTACCTCAATTTTTGGACTCTCCTGGTAAACTACATTCTTAGAGGGAGAACGGGCCTTTCTTTGTTCATCTCTGTGTCCACAAGACAGGGTCTCTGATAGCAAAACAGCACTCAGTCTTTATCGTTTGAAATAGAACAAATGGACTGAGCCCCAGGCATGGCCCTAGGTGATTGACAGAGGCTGTCCTTCCGATTCCTTACCACAGCAGATGGCTGGGGGGTTTCAGAATCACCACTCTCATATTGATACTTTCGTTGTAATTATTACCATGTTAGAAATTAAGAAGTTGAGATTCGGGGAGGTTGGGGAAGATTTCAGCTACTGAGTGACCGAGGAATATGTGTGCACCCGTAGTAGGGACATTCTGGGATAATGAGGTGTTAGTCTCACTAAGATGAGATCGACATCTCAGGTGCCAGGTTGTCCCTGTTTATCTGCACCCTATTCTTCTGGGCCTGTTGGAGGTTGAGGATATTATTTAAACTGTTGCCTCTGCTGCATTTGAATATCTTCTGACAGAGAACAGCGAGTGCATATAAATCATCTCATTTGAAGCTGCTGAGTAAATAAGAATTCTCTTGTAAGGAGGCTTGACCTGAACCAGATACCTGGCTCAGGATTTCTCCCTCTGAACTATTCCTGCCCAACTGTGACACACAGAGATGAATCATGTAAAACATGTGATGTCACCGGTTATGTGACATCCTCCAAAAGTGAGCATGTGGGTATGAATTCATTATGCTAGAATATGTATGAAGTAGTTCGCTCGTTGTGCAAAACTAAGCTTATTATAAAACCTCATAAACCTTTAGCTTTCAAGTTGCAATTTAGTGATGACTTCATTAAAGGATCATTATCTTAGGTGCCAAAAATATGAAAGCACTTTTTAAAATTTTTAATCTGTCACACTACACAGAAAGTCAGCTCTCCAAAATGACCTTAAAGTAGCTGAAAGATTTTTGCATTTGATAAACTGGGGAAGGCAAGCAATGCCTTAAATTGTGTCAAATTGTATAAATTCTGTTCTTTTAATACTTGGTATGATATAGTATTATGTTTGCAGGAAGCAGGTATTTTGTCACATTCTCCTATTTCTAAATTTTAATGTTCTAAAATGGCTTTCAGAAAATTCTTCCCATTGAGGAGCAAACTTTCAAATCATTTGTTAATATATTACTTGTGTTTTAAATGACCATTTCAAGTGATTTAGAGGAAATATTCCTATTTATTCTTAGAATGAGATCAATATAGAACTGTATTTCTATGTATATTTAAACATAAAGATTTGTGGCTGTTCTAGAAAATTGGATATATGTGTATTTCACTTTAATTCATGAGAAATGATGTCTCAGAACTTTCTGTTTTGGATTTCTTTCTTTCCTCTGTTCTTTCTCTTTCCTTCCTCCCTTCCTCCCTCCCTCCCTCCCATACTTCCTTCCTTCCTTCCTTCCTTCTTTCCTTCCTTCCTTCCCTTCCTTCCTTTCCTTCCCTTCCTTCCCTTCCTTCTGTCTCTCTCTTACTGAAGCAAACTTGACTTTGACATATGTATACAAACCAGTTAAGAGAAGGAACCTTTCCATCACCCCCAGGAGTTTCTCATGCTCCTCTGTCATCTCTCTCACCCACTTCTCCCCACCTGCCTATAGGCCATTCTCAAGGAAGCACTGAGATGCTTTGTGTCACTGTATACTATTTTGCATTTCCTTGAGCTTTATATAAATGGAGTCACACAGTATGTAACAGTATGTAACCCCTTTACTGGCTTCTTTCACTTGGCAAAACTATTTTGAGCTTCATCTATGTTGTAGTGTGTATCAATAATTCATTTTTATTGAATAGTATCCCACTGTATTGAATGTATGTTTGTTTATCCCTTCACCTGTTGGCTGACATTTAGGTTATTTCAAGTGTTTGACTCTTACAAATAAAGCTGCTATAAACATTCCCAGACAACTGTTTGTATGGACATACGCTTTCTCTTCTCTTGGGTGAACACCTAAGGGTGAAACGATTGAATCGTACCGTAGATATACTTTTAATTTTCTTAAAAACCATCAAACTGCTTTTCAAAGTGGTGGTTGCATTTTACGTTTCCACCAGCATGTCGAGAGTTTGAGTTTATCCACATTCTCTCCAGTCCTGGTAGGGTCAGCCTTTTAAGTTTTAGCCATTCTGATAGATGTAGTCCTATGGCAGTGTGGCTTGCATTTGCATTTCCTTAATAGCTAATGGTGCTGAGCACCTTTATTGTGTTTATTTGCCATCCTTACATCTTATCTGGTGAAGTATATATTGAAATCTTTTGTCCATTTTTAAGTTTCTTGTTTCCTATTATTGGATTAGAATTCTTTATGTATTCTAGACACAAGTAATTTTTCAGATATGTGTTTTGCAATTACTTTCTCCAGTCTCTGGTTACTCTTCTCATTCTCTTAACAGTGTCTTTAGAAGAGCAGAAGTTATTAATTTTTATAAAGTCTAATTTATAACTTTGTGCTTTCATGGATCAGGCTTCTGGTATCGGATCTAAGAAATCTTTGTCCAAGCTCACAAATGTTTTGTCTTGTTTTCTTCCAGAAGTCTTATAGTTTTAGGTTTTGCATTTAGATCAACTGATTGATTTTGAGTTCACTGTGCTTGATGATAACTCAGAGCTGAGTCTCTCTCTGGGAATTTCCCTCAGCTGGAAGAGCTCTGATGCCCCAGGGTCAGCCTGTATCCAATGACTGGTTGATGCAGGGCCACAAGACCAGGTGTCTTTCCTTAGACTGAGGACAATTCTGAAAGGCCAGACCTGATCCATAAGCACCACAGAATTGCTGAGG